CTGTATAGCATAAGCGGACAACGCTGACGTCATTTGAGGGACAAAGCAAGTCGAACAGCTTCTGGCGTATTTTTATTCTACTCTCTCTTTCAAATAATTTCTGCGAGTTTATGCCAAAGATCAAGTGACATCAAAGACAAGGGTTATCCTAATGGTAAAGCTTGTTTTTTTTATAAACAAAATGACTTATATGCAACTAAGTACATATGTAGAATAACCCTTTACCTATAACATGATACTATTCTATAGCGATCTATTTGCGGCCATCTTTGAACCCACTTGTCAATTCCACGCTGGTAAAACTCTTTCAGGTATTCTTCTAGCATGCAGTTTTTATTCAACATTAGTCACACCTACTTTGAATTTTTTTCTCCCATTATCGTCGCCTCACCATCACATTTCTGAGACTTCTGTGGATGTCGATAAGCTTTAGTCAAGAATTTTTTTTTCGTTTCTGCTTCATATCCACAGTTATGCAACACCCGCAAACAAAGAAACCATGTCAGTCATACAATAAGAATTGTTCTATTTGGTTGTGAAAAATATCACATTCGAATTAAGAGTTTCGGAGAAAATTTAGTAATACTTTCCGTACAAACACCATATCTTCACGGACTTAAAAATGTAGTTTATTTTTCTTCTATGTGCGTTTCCCCTCAGGTAGTAGGCGATCATGGCTCTCCACAATTTCCTATCTTTTTTAGCTCTTAGCAATATTCGTCTTTTTTTTACTATCCTTCCCTCTCTATTTTCTTCCATTCATTTAAACAAGCCCGTTAGGTAGGTTACTTGCCTTCAATATATCCTGTATATTAAATTCTACAATCGACCTTTCCTGATTATGTGTCCTAGAAATTTCAATTGTCGCTTTCTGATTCTAAGTACTTGTCTTTTTTGTTTCCATTTCCACTAAAACTTCCTTGTTACTGATAATGGCCAATGGTATTCTCAGTAATCTTCTGTAGAAGCACATTTTTGTTGTCTCTTCCTTCTTCTGTGAGGAAATTGTCCAGCATTCACTGTCATAATACTGGATAACAATTTTCTTACATTTAATTCATTGATGCATTAAATTAATAGCTTATTGAATATGCATACTACATTTAGCAATATATATATATATATATATATATATATATATATATATATATATATATATATATATATATATATATATGTGTAGAATGCATAATTAAATAATATAGGGAAATTTAGATTCTTAATTATGAGGCTTAATAGTAGAGTAATCGACTATAAAAGGAGAAGTTAAAGATGTCATCTTAATTTATGGATCGATGATTTATGTGCCTACCTTCCTACAAAGGTAAAGGTGACATAATGAGAAATGGTCGCTTCTCTTTGCCGCTTCATTAAGTATCCGGTGCCTTCTGATATACTCAACCTTTACATGAGCTAGATCAAGCCGAAAATGGAGTACTGCTGCCATATCTGGACATGTGCTGCCGACTTTTCACTTTCTAGTCTCGATAGAGTCCAAAAGAGTTTCCGCGTCTCTGTGGGTGATGAATTATTTTCCACCCAACAACCCCTTTCTCACAGACGAAACGTCGCAAGACTCTCGCTGCTTTATCACTATTTCCATGGAAAGTGTTCAGACGAGTAACAGCGAACAATCCTTAATCCCTTCGTATTTCATTGAGGAGACACGGTGGAGTAATGGATAGCGGCTCAGAATGAGCCGAGTTCGAAATCCAGTCAGATCCATTACATTCACTTACGTACTAATACCCTTGCGAAAGGTATGAATCCTCTTCTCCCCCCCCCAGCTATAGGTAAATGGCAGGGCAGACCGGTTTCTAAAGCCTTGGATGGCAACTGGTCTACCGCAGAAAGAAATGGCAACCTACTGCCTCGTCAGTCATGTATCGTGTATCACGCATGGCACATAACTGACTGACTGGTTTTATTGGTGAAATCAATCAGTCCACTCGAGAATCTTCTTCCCACGAACCGCAGTTTGTGAAACGACTTCCAAGAAGATGCTTCCCTGATCACTACAATCTTAACCTGTTCGTCTAGATTTAACCGTTATCTTCCTCACATATCCTCATAAACTGTGCCTCTTACTATGTAAGCTCGAGTAACTCTTGGACCTTGTACAAGGTGAACATTATTCTAAAACAAAACAACACCTGCATGCGGCTGGTTATTACCCAACCTTCGTGGTTTGTGTCACAAACGTATCAAGGCGACCAATGACATTCTTATTTTGTGTAATGATGAATTGATGCCCCGGATTTAGAATTTCCAGAAACTAGACAGGTCTACTTCAAACTAGAGCGACATTTAATCGGTCAAGTATCTGTAAATATCCGCCTTGTTAAGTGAGGAGACAACCAAACAGATAAGATTGTCGGAGAAGTGAGACAGCAATCAGTAGAAAGAAATGCATAGAGTGCAATAGATATGTAAATAGATTGATAGACAGTCAGCAAGGTGAGTAGACGAACAAACCGACAAATAGTGAAAATAGTAACAAAATATTTAAAATGATTGGCAAATAAAAAAGTGCACAAAAGTGCATCGCAAATGACGTAGTGCGGGACGATATCAAAAAAAGAAAAAAGAACAGGCCCACCGGATAACCTCATAACCACCTTCAAGAAGAGAAATGTAAAATGGTATGGACACAGGGCAAGAGCTAATAATATTTCCACTGTCATCCTATGAGGAAAAAAAAGGTCAGACTGGCGGGGGAAAATGGTCCGATAACGTCACTGAGTGGACTGGAAGATCATTCCCATAAACTGAGACATTGGGACGCAACCGTGACATATAGCGAGGGTTGGTCAGGTTCTTAGCTGTGCAGCAACCCTACGACCACACCCGGTCATGGAACTGATGATGATGATGATGATGATGATGATGATGTCTAACTAACCGCCAAGATAAATTAATATAGAAAGGCGACCACATTTTAAAGATTATAAATGATGGTAAGTATATAAAAGAAAAGTTAGAGCAATATGAAGAGAGAGATGAATTCAGGTCGTGTCTTGGCTTGTTGCTTCTCAACGTATCAATCTAGTCGCATATCGGCAAAAAGTACTCAACTCATAAAACATTACAGTTTCGAATATGTTTGTTTAACTTGTTTACTTATACGGGAATAATGCATACGAATGGACCGACATAATTCGGCCTTGTTGGTACGTGTCAATAAACAGTAAATGGAAAAGGAAAAACAATATATACTGAAGTCTGAAAAACGAAAATATAATTAAAAATAAGTCGTCAGAAAAAGTGGCTGAACGACCACAAATTTTGCATATCATTCTCCTATTCTATGTATGGATGTTTATTGTTTACAAACGGTTGTTTGCGAAAACGTCTTCTGCGGTTAACTGAATTCGTCAACTGACCTCCTAAATTTGAAGAAATAGAAAATGTTACTATGTGTGGGATTGCCTCAGTTTGTCGTTTTCTTTTTATTAACATTCACCCAATACAAGGCTCAAGAGCCAGTCAAGGTGGATGGTTACTGAATGAAGTATTTGAAAATAAATGTCAAATTAGGAAGTGGAAAGTGAAGATTATGAAGGTATAGATAACGTGTGACTTGAAGAGGTTAAGTGTCCAGAAAATAATCCACGTGCAAGTCTACAAAGAAGCAGTTCTAGAGAAATTCTGGGTGTAACTTCCTCCTTACTATTGGAATACTAAGAGGAGCAGGGTAATTCAGCTTCGCAGATGTATGATGGCGAGTTTTAGCCGTGAAGATCTGAACTGATGGAACTAAATAATGAAATTCATCTGATCATTAGCCTTATAGCAACAAAAAAACAGGAAGTTATGGAGAGCCATGATCACTTCCGTCCTGACGGAATGTGGCACATAAAATAGAAGAATGTACGCGAATATTTAAAGGCTCTTATTTTATTCGGGTGATGGAAATGAACCTTAAAATGTTCAGCTTTTCTTCGTGTTTTATACAATCGAGCTGCAATTACACTTGTATATGTCGTCCTCCGTTAAAAAATTCATCTTTTTCTTCTTCATGTTCCGTGTCTCCTCAGGACGTAGGCGATACTGGCTCTCTACAATTCCCTGTACTTTGTAGCTCTTAATAAATTTTGTGTTTTTGTTAATTCTTTTAAACCCTCTTCCGCCTTCCATTTAGCGAAGCTCATCAAATATGTTATGAGTTGTTTCCCCTCTGTCTTCAATCTGCCCTGTGAATATGAGATTTTTCAAGCCCGCTTTTCTCATTAAGTGTCCTAGAATTTTCAGTTCTCTCTTTCTGATGTTAAGTATAAGTGTCCTTTTTGTTTCCATTTTCTCTAGAACTTCGTCGTTGCTCACATATTCGGTCTCAAGTCTTTTCTTCATCTTTCGGGAGATTGTCCAGCATTCACTGACATTTTCGAGGACAGATATCACATAACAGTTCAATACACTTTTCTTTGTTTCTAACGAAGTTTTCCTGTTTCTTAATACTCTGCTTAGCTTTTGGAATGTATCTATCTTTTGGAAAGCTATCCTAATGCGCCCTAGAAAGCAGTAAAATAGAAATAATTAGTACCTTGCTTAGCGGCTGAGATAATTATGTACTGATACCGACACTATAAATCAGGGATCGAACTTAGGTAAAAGCGATGATTCTAAATGCTAATTTTCAAGGCCAGCAAACATACCTGACTCTGAAGAATACTGAAACACAATCTTTCTAGAAACATAAATTTAATCCTATGACGCATTGAATTAATTCATTGATTAAATTTTTTACGACTTAACAACCTTTTGCAGGTCATTTAAAGCTAGACGATATTTTTAGATTGTAAGAATTTGGGGAGGATAATAATGAGTAACTAATACAAATCCTATTAATTAACCCATAACAGGGGGAGAAGAATTGGAGTCATTAATTTCTCAAGGATATTTGCACGTAAGTGAATATAACGAACCCCACTGGAATTGGAACTCAGCACTCCGATCTCCAATTTTAAGCCTTAATCCATAACACCATCCACACATCCAAGCTTACAGCACCTGATATTCCCAAGCAGTCACTCATCTAGGAACTGACCAGGTTCGACGCTGCTTAACTTCAGTGATCGTACGAGAACCAGTGACATTAAATTAAGTTCATTGCATATCGCTACTAAATTGTACTGATATTATAATCGCTAATCATTACGACCCAGTGGCAGAAAATAGAGCTGACAGTAGAAAAGTGAAGTTATTTAATAAAACATCCACTCCTTATGAATAGAATACAAGATCTTTTTAAGGGCCCCATGCATCTTTGGGACCAAAATTTAAAAAAAATTAGTTCAGTTAAAATGGCTATTTAAATAAATCCAACAACTTTCGTTCATATTATTGAGGACTCAATGTGAGTTCAAGTGAAAAATGAGTTACACAAAACAATATAAAACAAACGATAACTAATTGCATGTATTGTCAAAGAGGAATTACATGGATATACAATTACGATAAAAGAAGAAAACATTAAACCAGTTACATACAAAAATATATATAAAATAGCTATAAGAGAATGTACGTGTTTTATGTGGGTGAAATTTGTGTACGTGATAGACATGTGTGTATATGAGTGTGCAAGAAATAAACGTGTGCGACAGACACGTGTGTGTGAGAGTTCAACAGTCAAAAGAAAAAAGCACGCGAACCTAGCAACCGCGTTTCAACTATACATACAACTACATCTGAAAACCTGTGAGGAAAAAGTGTAAAAGAGACAGAGAGAGAAATACATATTTTTTTGGCAAAGTCAAATGGGATCTTTAAGTTAACATTCATGTTATGAAGGTGAAATAAAGCTATGTTCCTTGAAAAATAGAGAAATAAAACTACTCGGGATGTTTTTTTTATTTTCAATAGTTCGAGCCGAATTTTATCAGCCCGATTAGCGGATTTTTACAAATAAAACTGCTGAGATATACCTGTTGGTTTGACAGTTGGGTTACTCTGGCTTAGCTTACCAGGGGATCAAATATAAAAAAAAATGAATAAGGAATCTTTAAAAATTAACGTCTAATTTAGAACCGCCTACTTGTAACATCCAATTTAACCTCCCGACTTTTCATTTTGTAGCGCCTTGCTTATGTAAATAAAATGTGAATAGTTGTCCGTATAAACAGGTTTTGGCGCGATGACGACCCCCCTGAGGGAAGAACAAGCAAAATTACATAAAAGCAAATTTTATCATCAAAATCTTTGCGCAATTACTAAGAAGCAAGATAGGAGAAAATTCTGTCATAAAAACATATTTTTGTAGGCTCTATGGACACGGAGATATTTGTAAAAAGTAATAATATAAAAAAATTGTTTACATGTAAGAGGTAAGAGATTTCCACGTGAGGCCTTTAGAACATCATGTTGAAGACCGAATCGTAGTCTTACGCTAAGATAATCGAACTAAGGATGAAGGTTTCATTGTATAGGACCAATGTTGGAATTTACTCCTCTGCTTAGTGTTTTTCATATGATAAACTTATTTTTCTAGAATTATAAAAGTCATAGAAACTCACAGATCATTCTCTGATATGTCATGAACTGGAGCCAAACAATAGTCCCGAAATGAAGATGGTCAGCGTTGACTACTTACCAGTTACAGCTCTTAACCGATTCGAGAGAGATTTTCAAGTGATGTGTTTTACTATCATAAATCCGGTTTTAATGCCTGACAATAAAAGAAGCTTATGTTATCATATCTTCCTATTTTTTTTTATAACTGAAGTCATCAAGGAATATCCTTAATTTGATTCATCAACACCTTCCCACAATTCCGGAAAAAAGTATGTTTATGACATCTGCTTAAGTTATTTTAGGCTGACACACCTGTATGTTTTTGGGGTCTCACTGCACCTCTTCATTTCGGAAGTCCTCAAAATAACACATTTGCTCATTCAAAAATCCAAGCATTGTTTAGTCATTCCACAGCATCCGTATGGGATTGGTTTTAGGTCAACCAGCGGATACCAAATCTGCGGATACTAAAATGCACTATAGAAAATGGAGTAGTATTTGCATAGAAAAGTCGGGCACTATTCTCAGAATGCCCAATAAAATGTAAATACGACGTACATAGTTGGTGTAGATATGAAGAAATTTTAGGCGGGAAGATAATCCCTGAAAGAAAGAACAAAATTAAATAGTAGGTAAATTTTAAAAATGTTTGTCCTATTTGTTAGAAGAAAGATTGGAGAAAATTCTGAACTAAAAGTCGATTCGGCAGAATTGGAGATATTTGCGAAAAGTTGTATAAAAACTCGTTTACATGTAAGAAACAAAAAACCGTATTAATTTGCATTAAAAATATTTAGCCGAAAAACATAGATTTTAATAATCCATAAAAATCAATAAGTTGAAATTTAATTAGATTTCTGTACATATTTAATAAAGAACGAAACTTTTTAAAAAAGCGTTTCCATTTAAATTTTGGAAGAAATAGCAATAAAATAGCGAACGAATGACTCTCAAGACGAATAATACTTAAACAAGGGGGATTTATAACATTATTTACATTATTCGGACTATTGTCCTCATTTTTGTCGCCATATTTATTACAACGTTTCGTCCGTTGTACGCTTCGGCCTTCTTCAGGTGGTTGGAATGTCGAACTGAACCCTTTATTTCGCTCACCGGGGATTTATAAATAAGCAGATGGATCGATTAGTATAATCCTACACATCTCTACATTCATGTGAATGCAGTGTAAGGCTTGCTGAGCGGTAAATTTAAGTCAAGGACTGTGGAAATTATCTGTAAACTTTTCTGGTATTTTCGATCTTTTCGATGAATACGCGGATGCGAAACCCGTGGATAGAAAGGGTCGAATTTATTAGCTATATTCTTAGCAATATTTGAGAGGGGAGATAATGACAAATTCATGTATCAGCCGATTTTCCAAAATATCTAACCAAATGATCGAACATCTATTTTTTTAAAGAGCTTATTGGTCGGGTAATTTTTCAGTGCGCCCACGTCGCTACCGAATGTGACATAAGGTTAGTTTGAAGTTGGTTTAACGTCAATACCGTGGAAATTTGCTCAAGACCCCTCGGCACTTCCCATTTTTGGGGACGTTTCAGGAACCGGACAATAAATCCAGCTCCATCCCGGCAGAGAGGTACTGCTTGTGGAGAAGGTCAACTGGGTGCTTGGTCTATATGGTATTTAAGCCTCCCCGAACCAAAATGCTGGAAGCGATTAAATGATTCTCTATGCATTGCTTAGATGTAGCACATAGCTGAAAGCGTGGAGTACCCAGTGAGGATCGACCTCGCTTCTCAGTTGTAATTGAGCTACCTAACCATTACATCACATTGAGGTGCCCAAAGAGCTTTTTGGTCAGGTCGAGAAAATTTCGCCATCGTGTAGTTCTGCATGACATTTTGTTCGTTCGTGTAGAATAGGGGTTCCACAAATTTTTAAATCATGGAATCTTTGATTTTCCATCGACCCCCAGGCACAAAACTATATAAATAATATATTTTATTTAAGGATAGAACTTCCTTTGCCTGTTTCTCGAGAAGATTAATTTTAGTTTTACATTTGGGCTTTCGTCTTCCAATTTCTATTTCGCTTTTTAAACGACACGCATTTGATTGAATAATAATAGAAAAAAAAACTTAAATAATATAGTTAATAAACATATTAAAAATAAATGAATATACCTTCTCGGGTTGATTGACATCAGTAATGGGAAGTATTATTTGATGAACAGTAGCAAGGGTATTGATATTTAGTCGGGAATTGGTGAGATTTTGTCGTAAATCACCACACTTTCAGGTTCTGTCTCTTCCTCTACTTAATCACAATTGCATTTTTATTATTAAAACCAGCTTCAATCAAGTATGAATTTGTAAATGCAAGTAAAATGTATTGTATTTTATTGCATTATTTTATGTATTTTTATTTACTTTATTTCATGTGATTCTTGAACTGTGCTTTCATTGTGACTTCTTGAATTGTACGTGTGCCAGTTTTTGTTTCAAAAAGTTTAATCAGTCCCTCGGTCCCCTTTTGACCCTAGGCATTTATTGACACTCTTTTGATTTCCAGACATTTATTGATTCCCTGGATAATCACATCAAACCTGGGGTTCGATCTCGACAATTTGAATTTAAGGTTAGATAAAAAAAACGCGCAGGATCAGTTAAAATTATCTACAAATTTATTACTAAATGTTGTATATACATTTGTCGAATGATAGTCACAACATTCTTATTTGTACTTACTGAGTTTTCGTATTAATACTAACAAGGCACTTTCATTACAGATAAAGCTACGGAAAGTTTCTTCAGCAGCGCCGGTGCGTCTTACCCGCGACCGGGGGCCGGAGGCCCTGCGACCGGGGGCCCCGCGACCGGGGCCCCGCGACCGGGGGCCCCGCGTTTTTTTTTTCCTGTTGTCACCTCTGCCATTTTTTTCAGCACTGTTATATGGCCATCCGCCATTTTTTAATTATTTTTAAACTGACGTTACATTGTCAGTCATCAGCTGACAATATATATACATCTTATACACTGTACCTGCATGGCCGGTGCGGTGCGTACTACACCGGAACCATCGACGAGGTTGGAGCCCCAAAAGGGCTAGTTTCAGCAGTGTCTTTTTGCTTTTTTGTACTTTTTTTGCCAATCATCAACTATAATAATCGACAGGGCCGATGCTTACTACCCCGAATCTCTCAACCGCGTGGGAGCCCTATGCTTACTGGGGAGGGGGTAGAATTGCTAATTTTTTTTTTAAATTGAAATTTTCTTTCTGAACAGTTCTTGGAAATCGACATGTATTAGAGAGGAGAGCCCCGTATTAAAATTCCGGGAGGGGGAGGGGGCGAGATCTTAGTGCTGGCTTTGTTCTTCAGTATACTAACAAGCATCTTAATATTCTAACCGGTTTCAGTAATATTGTCGGCTCTGTGGTTTCGTTTTTTTTTTGTTTGGATCTATCTATCTATCTATCTATCTATCTATCTATCTATCTATCTATCTATCTATCTATCTTATAATTCTGCCTGCCAAATACCTCATAAATAATGGATCTTTTGATCGCGCGAAAAACGAAGAAAAAATCAAATATGTTATTAGGGTTCAGTGAGAA